ATCAGTACCACTCTGCCTAGGCAGGCTCATTTAGCTTGAGTGTTGTGTCCTTTTTATGTTCTTCCAGGCCTCAAGCAAAATTAGGACTATGCTACTCTGAACATTGTCAGAAGACATGGCTACAGCTTGATATAATTTCTGTATTTTCTTACAGTAAACTGAGCACTAATACAAGTATTAATGCTTCCAACTTCACAAAATTTATGACCTTTGAAAGTATTAGCTGCATTTGACAACTGAGAAAACAGGCACAGCAAGATCTAACAACTTGCTTAAGGTCACCCAGAAACTGTGGGAATGAAAACCTGATTCTTTCATACAGGCCTCAACACAAGGCAGTCTCTCCATTCCTTATGGCTGTTCTAAGATTTTTTAAGATGTGCAAATGTGTTCAGTGCAATGTCAGTCTGGACACATGGCAGTAGAATGATTTTGCTTCTGATCCCTAGAAGGCTCTGATGGCTTCTTTTCACCACTCTGCTGCAATGATTCAGATCCTTCTGAGATCATGTACCTCAATGGAGCAAATCAGAGGAGTAGTGACTACTTCTTTGTACTGGATAATTTCAAGTGGTATGGATTCCCTCATACAGCTCATTTTTTCCAGCTGCACACAGGGTAGATAATTTTAAGTATGGTACGTCTTCAGCTATCTCAAGTTCCCATTCTGCTCCTGAGATAGGTCTTTTTTGGTCTTCTGCATCTTGTACAATACCCCTACTCAGAATTTAGTGTCCATGAAGAAACCAGAAAAATGTATGAATGTTTCTCTCCCTCCAGCCAGATCCCGTGTCCTCCATGCACTGTGTGATTACTGCATGTTTATCACAAAACTTTAAAGGGGAAATATGCTTTTTCAACTTTGTGTTTAATAAGATCTTCTTGCCTATGAATGTATCTTTGCAAGGACGGATAATTGTGCATAATTTTGGCAAAAATGCTTGGCGTTGCAAAAACAATATTTATAAATGCTAAAATGTTGGGGACACTAAAATTCTTCTGTCTTTGAAAATCTTCATGTCTGATTATTTTCCCATTGTCTTCTCTTCTTTGTTCACATCTGCATGTTTTTTTTTTTGTTTTCTTAACCTTGTACTTGAATTTTTATTTTTATTTTTTTATTCAGTCTTCTGTCTCTTGGGGCATCTGTTCCCCAGGTAATATTTTCAGTCAAACCACTGTAATGAATGTTGTATTTTAACTTGGTAATTACTTCTGTAAGCCATTCATAGAATATTTTAATTAATTTCTTTAACAATGGGCCTTCTACCAATTTGCAGATCTGTTAAAAAACCTCATCACCATCACTACCACTCCAGAAAAAAAAAAAGAAAAGAAAAAACAACCCAAACCCAGAGAAGATCTAAGAATTAGAAAAGATGCAGGCTAAGGACAGCAATCCACCAGATGGTGGCTATGGATGGGTTGTGGTAGTGTCAGCCTTCATGGTGATGGGCCTCACTGTTGCTGTCCTCAAGACTTTTGGTCTGTTCTTTGTTGAAATCCAGCAGCACTTTGATGAACTTGCAAGCACCACTTCCTGGATCACATCAGTAACTATTGCCATCTTTCATTTAGGAGGTAGGTACTAGTACTCCTCTTATCATTTTATTTTAATATTAACTACCAATAGCAACTACTATAGTAAGTTTGGAAATCTTCCTTAAAAAAAACCAAACCCAGAAACATATAAGGCTTATACTTCCTTCTTCTGTTTCTACAGAAAATACAGAAAATTTTCAGAAAATTGGCATTTGCTGCCTCAGATATGGAATGGGTTAATAACAAAACTCTATAGATACAGGAGTTTGATTGCCTGAAAAAAACATCATGTACCTAAACTCATGATTAAGTTTTGCTACAGGCTTTGAGTTAAACTCATTAGAGGTAATTCTGATAGCCACAGAGCTTGTTGAATCAAGCTCTTAAACCAGCTTGTGCAAGTTCACTGATCTCAGAGTGACTGTCACTTTTTCTTAGTATGACTCCAGGTTATTGATCTACCAGAAGACTCGAGCTCAATAAAGACATGAGCACACAAAGCAGAGAGTAGGGGAAGAGACAGTAAACTATCCAAGTCAAATACCAGGCTCAAAGTGAGCTATGGGAACAGGTCAAATACCACATCACATCAAAATGAAAGCAGGAAAAATGTGAAACATACTGTGTTTGACTCAGCTTGGTTGTTCAGAGAGTCCTTAGTGCCCTTGTAAATGGCATCATCTTTCACATGATGTGAGGATTCCAAACATGTGCAGGCTTGAACTGTACAGAATTTGTTAAGTTTGCTCTGCATATTCTCATAGAGGTGTATGGTTGCAATAGGTAAATCTTCTTTCATAATAAATGCTATCATAATTTTATTTCTGAAGGCTCTTCATTGCATAGACATTGCATCGTATAATTACATGCATCCTACTCAGTCCACACCTATCAGTATTATTGCTCGGAACTGCAGTGTTTCCAAACATCAAGAGCAACTGTTCTTTCTTTGAAATATGTATTCAGAGGGAAAGGAGAGTAACCCAAAGTCAAAGTAAAAAGATAAAATAAGTAATGAGTTGAAAAGATTTTATCAGTTCCATAAACTGCTGTCCTTGATGCCTGCTTTGCAGCAACAGATATAATTAACTGGAAAAAAAAAATTGAAAAACCTGCTTCACAGACCACAGAAATTAATAAATGGTAGTTATCGATTTGGTTTACATATTAGACATATCACTGACATACTGTGATACTATTTCGTAATTCAGGCATTTGAACTTCATGAGAAGAAAAAGCCAGCAAAGGAGGGAAAAACAGTCCTGTTTTAGTTAGGTTTTGTTTTGTTATAGTATATAGTTACATTGTATAGGAATGCACCAAGGAATAGGGCATATGACACGATAATACCAAGTATAAACCAGCAAAAATATATTTGCCTAGTGTGAGGCCAGCCTACTTCAAGGAAGGCAGCTATAATTTTCAGCAGAAATTGGTCTTTGTCCTTTGAAATCCTTTGAAAATAATCCTCTTTCAGTGAAAAAAGCTTGGTGGTCAACTATTCCAAACCCCCTCTGTATAGCAGTTTATAAATGTCTCAGGTCAATACATAATTGTCCTCATCTTTTTCTGCCTTTACTTCATTTATAGGGACCACAAGACTTCCTGATGAAAATCACCTGAGCTTCCAGTTCTTTGGCCATGTTTCCTAGCCTGGCTTAGTCTTTCTTACTGTGTATCTCTGGGAAACCTTGAGTGTCACTTGGCTCAGTATGAAGGACGATCACTGAATTATTATTTTTTTACTATTTGGATCCTTTCAACAGCAGGTCTGTTTCCTGTGTCGAAGGAGAGCATGTGTTTCCACTCCCAAGGTCTGCACTTGCAACAGGCTGCTCAGTTTACCACAGCAAGGATTCTCCCCATCACCTTCACCAGCCTTCTCTCGGGTACTGATGTACACCTCCCAACACCCTTCTCTTTGCACTCTGGTTGTCATCCTTTCCATTGCTTGTACATTTTCTGTGTGTTGCCTTTACTGTTTCAGACTCTGGAGTCAAGCTATTTTACCCATTTCCAGTTCTGTGGCTAGCTTCTTTCTTTCTCTTGCTACCCCATGTTTAATTGCTGCCTGTTTATTCTCCTTACTTACTATTTAAAAATTGAGTTTTGGTAATATTTCTTCTCCAGCTGCAGACCTTTTTCTTGTCTTCAAGAACTTTCATGGATGTTATCCTGTATCTATTTTTCTCTTCTTCTTTTTTTATCATATTGTATGATTCACCAGCTGTATATACCTTATCATGTCCCATCAACTACATCTTAAGAGAATGACTGAATTTCAGTACCCTTTTTACATGCTTATAAAATGATCAGATTTTTGCTGTAAAAGCTGATGAGACATTTGAGGTTTGTATAACTACTGACACATCTTTCTGCTGTCAGACAGCGTACATCCTGCAGATTTTGCAACAACTAGTATTCTGTCAGGTTTATTTCACTCATCCTAGCTAGCAAATTCTCTTAATTCTGATCTTAACCCAGGTGAATGTACAACAACCTGCCCCTACAAACTATTATAAAACCTTCCTTGCTGGCTGCTCTCTCTTAATCATTGTCTTCCTACTTATTTCAGTTTAGAAGCATGGTCCCCGTTAACCAAACTGAGTTTTATGCACGAACTCCCTAGGATGTTTTACAGATATTGGGAGCGGGTTCCTGCCAGGTGGTACTTGAGAACCCCCTAGTGGCCATGGCTATTTAAAGAAATCCTACGGCCTTAACCCGGACTCTGCGATGCTGATGGAAAGAACAGCCAGGCAGTAAAACTGATCCTTAATTAAGAAAAGATATCCCTGACATTTCAGGTGTTTCCAGAGAGTGACTAGAGACCAAAGCAGCTGCTGCACCATCAGATCTGTACCACCTACTCCTTTCCCTTATGTTGAAGAGCCTCTGCACTCTGTTGAGAGAAACTGTACCACTAAATGAAGATTTAAAAAATGAACTGACAATTTTCTGTAAAAAGTATTACCACAAAATAAACCCTAGTTTTTGGTCCTTTGAAAACCTTTAAAATTCCATTAAGGGTTGTTTTTTTTTCAAAATTCTAGAAAACAAAAGTTAGTTTTCTCTAGAAAGTTTTCGTGCCAGCCATATCAATAATACATTCTCAGCAGTACAGTTTTTATAGGTGAACCTATAGATTCTGTGGCTGAAGTTTTACTTTCTACTAAAGCAGTCCATGAGGTTCTGTCATGTTGGTACTTTTATCCTTACATGAAAATCAGTAGAACTGTCATACTACAAGGAAGGCTAAAATGCTCTTTCCCTTTAAAAAAGGTCCACATATGTTGAATATATTTTCAAATCTGTGCCCCAGGGAAAGTAATTTCTCTATCAGCAAGGACACAATTTTGAAATTTTGACTGACCTCCTACCCCATCCAGTAGAATAAAGGCTGTTTGTGTCAAGCATTGTAAAGGGAGTCCTCCTCAAAATGTTTTATTTATCTGGACATGTTGATCAGATTAATGTTCCTAATGTATTTTTCTTTCTCCAATTTTTATGCTGATCCAGCCCCTGTTGCCAGTTCACTGTGTGTACAATATACCCATCGGACAGTTGTGATCACTGGAGGACTTCTGGCTTTCTCAGGAATGGCATTGGGATTTTTTGGACTCAACATGGTCTGGATGTATGCAACAACTGGCTTCCTACAGGGTATGAATTTATGGCTTTCTTCCACCAGCAACTTATTTGAGGGTGCTAGTGGTAGGAGTTTTAAAATCTGGTATCTATTTTGACTTTATGAGCAGCCAGAACAAGCAATACTCTTCAAACGTGATTTCTCTCCTGTCCCACTCTGGAAATATGAATTTGTGCAGGAAACCTGCAACAACAAAGAAGACAACTATTAGATGCCAGTAATTTACCCCTGCAAATTATATGCAAGCAGAAAATTAAGTGTTTTCTTTTCCATTCAGAGATAAGAACTTTGTGAAAGTTTAAAAAATCTTCATAAAGGATGCTAAATTAAAGAAAACATGGAGATCCCAAATTCTATACTTTCTATCAACTTATGTTTTGAACCGAGTCCCAGGCTTCCATTTTATTCCAATCCTTTCCTTTACTCCAGGAAAAACGAGGCCAGAAAATTGTCTCCAACAGCTAGCAGATTTTCCTGGAACAGGAAGCAAAACTAGCAGGGAATAAAATAAACCATTCTGAATTCCGCACTGGATGCCTGAGAAAATGTCTGGAATTTGAGCCCTTTGGCAGTCCTGGGCTGCCAGAGTCCAGGGAGCCATCAAAGTAACTCAAAGTTAGACCAAGTTTTAATTTTACTCTTAAGCAGTCGAGCAAGAAAATGCAGAGCAAATAGAGGCAATACACCAGCTTCCTTCTTGTCCTCCCTTACAGTCTACCCTGAACACAGCTCAGCTGAACCTGCTGGTCTGACCTAGTACCAGCCTTCATGCAGACAGCAGAAGAACTGAGATCTGTCTAGCTTTAATCCCATGACCATGTGATTTCTTACGCACAGATGAAGCTGTGAAACCAACTTGTTTTTGCTTTTGTTTAAAGTAAAAATGTAATAATGCATATACTTCATGTTCTGCCTTTTTTCTTGAATACATACAGCTTACAGAATATAATGTCACTAATATACCCTACTCCAGGATAAGAGTGCTCATGCTTCTTCTTAGGCAAAAATGTTTTCCTTCTAACACATTTTAACTTTGCAAATGTAGAAGCACTGACTGCTTTAATTTCTACCTTCACAAAATACCTCAATGGTGTCTAACCAGTGCAATTTCTATTGGTGTTTTTCAGGTCTCGGCATTTCTTTTTCGTGGACACCAGCCATTAGCATTGTTAGCCACTATTTCTCCAAGAAAAGGGCTTTGGCCAATGCTATTGCCAGTGCTGGAGAATGTGCCTTTGCATTTGTGTTTGGGCCATTTTTCCAGTGGTTGATTAGTCAATATGGATGGAAAGGTGCACTCTTGATCATAGGTGGCATCCAACTGAATATTTGTGTTTGTGGAGTACTGATGCGACCCCTGGAAAGCAGCTGCCTCCTTGAGGCCAGCCATTATGGAACTGAAACACCACCTGGCAATGGTGCATCTGGGAGAGACAATGAAGATAAGTCTCCCACCATGCACAAAACCTTAAACTGGATGCTTGTGAAGCGACCAGAATTTGTACTTTATGCCATTTTTGGTATATTAGCTGCTATGAGCTTTTTTGTTCCTCCGTTATTTTTAGTTCCACTTAGCTATAGCCTGGGAATAGACGAATCATGGACTGCATCCCTCCTATCCATTTTGGCTATGGTGGACTTTGGAGGCAGATTGCTGTGTGGCTGGTATGCCAACCTCCATGTTACCAAAACCATTCATTTGTTGGCGATGACGATTACATTGATCAGTACTTCCCTGATGCTGTTGCCACTGGCTAACAATTACCTTTCCTTGGCAATATTCACTGGCTTCTACGGATTCTTCTTTGGTACAACAGTTGCCATTCACATTACAGTGCTGGCAGATGTTGTTGGCATGCCAGAATTTGACAGCGCTCTAGGGCTTTTCATGCTCATTCGAAGTACTGGAGGTTTTGTGGGGCCTCCTCTTGCAGGTAAGTTAAGGCAACTCACTGCCAAATACAGTTTACAAGAAGAAAGGGGAATGGTAATCCAAACTGAAAAGATCTGGATCTGCACTCAAATTTCCCCCCTTTTTAGCTCAGGAGTATCTGAGCCAAGAAGTACATAAAAACAAATAGTCAGTTTAAATCTTCTTCAAAATACCTTGCTCCTTCTCTTCTGTGTGATTTTAGAGATACCTTTTCAACAAGAAAGGAGGGATGAAAGGCAGAGTCCAGGTGGTGGTCCTGCTTCCTGAATCCCACATAATGCCACTTGATGGCCTCCAACTATCTTGCTAAGAAAGTGTGCCTTTGGGACAAGCAGCAGACACACACTTTCAGAGAAGAAACTGAAATTTGAGACTAGTGATGTTGCACAAATGCTGGTATTGTTGGGAGGGTTTTTACAGAAGTTCAAATTGAACAGCCTGAAACAGTAGGCTATGCAAACCTCAAGGAAATATTCAGAGAAATGCCTGCTGGTTTTAGACAGCATTTGAGCCAACTAGTATAATAAATAGGGAAGGCACCACATAAGAACAGTGGGAAGAGAGAGCAGACAATGAGACAGCACATGGATTTATGGGCTGGAAACAAGATATAGTAATCTTGAAAAAATGCAAGACAAATTAAATGCAAGCTGTGGAAACTTTAAAAAGTGATATAGCAAAAAAAAATTGACCAGCGTGACCTGTACAGTGCAGATTGGAGTTCTCATCCAAAGACCATTGTTCACGCACTACAAGTGACTTTTGTGGTAATGACATTGCTAATGGGTTGCAAATGAGTCAGACTGAATACGGGAACATTTTAATTCACTTTTGAAAATACAGGAAGCAGGAAGATTTGTAGAGGGTTTGAGACAGAACAGTATCAAAAATGTGTTAAAAAGATCTGAATAAAATACAGTTCATAGTGGCTGGTCATTAGTACTGATTATCTGGGAATCAGTGCGGCCCCTTTTTGTATATTTAGTAAACTACAAAGAAGGTATGGAAGAGCAGGGAACCCTAAGTGCCTCTCAAGCTCTCCTCTTCTCCTTTGAGCATAAAATCTAAAATATTTGAGTTCATGGTTCCTATGCCTAAATAGGGCTGCTCTTAATTTAGAATGTGGGCTACGGAGTACCGTAAACATGGACAATCTTCCCACAAGCAAGCAACCTTCATCAGCCCACAAAGGAATGTGTCATCATACCCATAGGGCAGCTGACACACTGCTGCAGTGCTACTACTGTACTAGAGATTTTTCAGTATTATACACAATGATACACAATAGCATTACGTATTTTGGTTGGCTTAAAGCTCCCTGAAAACCAAGGTCTTTTTGTTAACATCTGTGACTCTTTGCAAAATGATGAACTGGAAACCCGTAGCACACCAGACAAATTCTTCAACTTTGCTTCCAGCAGATGAATCTCCTTTCCTTCTCTAAACTCACTTGTGCTGTAGTTATGGTCCAAATTACAGCAACTAGTGATAGCTACACCACACAACATGGAGCTACTCACATACATAGCTGCACGGTCTGTCTTTTTTTTCTGCCAGTACCCACATTGTCTGCCACACTTTAGGTTGGAAAGCACTTCAAACTGTATAATATATTGTTTCCCTAGCAATTCACGTATAAAAAGCAATGAGATGTGAATTGTGTTTCAAACTGAATAGTGCTATAGTGGGGTGATTTCCATGTGCTCATGATGTAGAAGTCTGCAAGACAAATATGTAGCCAGCTCACTGCCTTTTTAAGAGAATATATTCATACTGCTGAGCTAATTCACATTAGTCTGTTTTCTATCAATCACATTCCTGTCATTTGTTTCTCTCCAGGTCTGATTGTGGACATGGCTGGAGATTACAGAGCAAGCTTCTACATGGCAGGAGCCATTCTCGTCCTATCAGCTGGATTTTTAATTATTTTAGATCTACTCCAACAGAGAAAAAAAAGAGGAAGCAAGATCAGAACTAAGCCAGAAAAGTTAACATTACCCTACCCTTCCCTCCATACCCTGAAACATCAAACCAGAAGGTACTGAGAGCACAATGTACTGGTGTGACTATATGAAACCTCTGACAGCATTTCAGGACATATGGAAGTAGAGTTTTTTTGCCAAACTCACTATTTTTAGGATTTATAAAAGAACATAAGTTTTGGGTAGGAATGTTTGAAACAAAGGAGGAAAGTAATTGATTTACATGTAAACTACAGCAGTAACCATTACCATATTATTTTGATATTGAAGTTGCATTTTGACTGTGCAAATATTCAGAGTCCCACAGGGACCAAAAAAAATAAAGAAAAAAGAAAAACACTAAATGAACTAGGGATACCATGGTCTAAATTAAATTGCCATGAAGAATGTGTGCAGCAAATAGAAACTCTACCCCCAAATGCAAACTGCAGCTATCACGAAAAAAGAAGAAGAAGCATCCGCTCACAAATGTTTACTTGGGGAAGCAGTGCCCACTATTTTCAGTAAACAAGTTGGATCCCAAAGCACAAGTAAATGAATACAGTTTTGAGCTAAAGGGTTTGCAGGTACTCTGCAGAGCAGTGCTGGAATAAGATAAATAAATAAACCTGGTAAAAGGTAAAAGTTATATGAGTAATAGAATATGGTAGAGACATATGCAGTCCTAGAAACAAAAAGCAGAAAATACCTACACAAAATGGAAAAGGATTGACGAATATTAGGAGAAGACCTAAGGCTACAGTGGACTTCAAACTGAATAAGAATTCCAAATGGAACTCTGTATTAAGAATAGTGAATGTCTTTCTGTATTAAGGTAACATAGAGGAGATAACAAAAAGCTTTAACTGGAAGAAGAACATGAGTTGCAAAGAATTAAGTGGACCGTAAATGAAAATATTAAGAAAACAGTGTAAGGAAAAAGTATAAGAAATAAAGTTTGCCTGGTTTAGAAGACAAAAATTTTTACAGGGCATGAGAACAGTCTTCAAATTCATAATAGGCTGAGATAAAGAAAATATAATTAATTCCTTTCCTTGTTAAGTCAACTGGTCATTGATATAATTCACAGAAAGGCAGTTATGTAACGGGGAAAAGTTTCATTGTAGCCTGTTAGGATACAGTGCAGACTATGGGGAGAATATGAAAAGATAGAGGTAACAGAATAGGTAACACACGAGCAAGGATCTAAATATACTCTTCAGAGCAGTAGGATGGGCTAGATGACTTCCTGAGGTCCCCTTCAGTCCCACATTCCAATTACCTTAAGGCAAATACTTTGATTAAATACTGTATTTATAAGAATAAAAAGGAGCCTGTATCCAAACAACAGGTTTTTTGCAATTTTACTGTATCGGGGGAAGACAGAATTTAAGGGAGAAAAGGCTGAATAACATTTAGAATGAAACATTGAAAGGAAAAAAACATAGCACTTTAAAGCCTTCAAGCTATTATGAATATCCTATCTGCCCTACTGATAAACTTCAGAAATTTTCACTATTGAAACAATTCCTCTGTGAAGCTGAGTTTACACAAATCTCTCATCTGAAATAATTAACCTCCTTGTCTCATAAGAACAAGTATTTCAAAAGTTTAATTTAACTTAGAGGAAACAGCTGAACCATTAATAAATCAACCACCTGTGAGGGCTTGATTAAAGAACACATATTGGAACACACTTGGGTCTGCAAAGTGTTGTAATAAGGCTCTGAAATAACTGACAAAATCCTTTTCAAACATACCAGTTGAAAAATTTGGATTTTTCTAGGAGTATTATTCTTCAGTCTTCTGCAGTGTTCCACTACTTAAAATAACTCTTCATTTTATAAAATAGAAGTGATATTCCTGGAGGTGGAAAGAATGGGAAAATGTTTAATAGATGCAGTTTCCACCTCTGGCATTCCGTTAAAATTCTATATTTTGTTTACAAGCCCTGTCACCAATTTATTTTGACATGTCCTGATGTTTGACATGGGCAGTAAAGAAGGCACTTAGTGCCATGCTGTGCTGGAAGAACACGGCCACAATGAGTAGGTCAAGGGAAGTGATTGTTCCCCTCTGCTCCACTCTTGTGCATACACTTTGGAGCAGCAAGCATAGGAAAGAAGTCGACAAAGATGACTGAGATCACAATAGGATCACTGAGAGGCTGCAGAACCAGGGCTGGTCCAGCCAGGGGAAGCAGCAGCTTTGGGAGCACCAAACAGCATCCATGGCACCAGCAGGAGAAATAGAGGAGATGCAGCTGGGCTGTTCACAGCAGTGCATGGCATGAGGGTGAGGCAACAGCAAAGCTGAAACCCAAAGCATTCAGGCTGAAGCCATGAGGACAGCCCAGCAGCACGAATATGGTCCAGCATGATTGGGCTGATGACATCCTTGGGACTTTCATGGCCTGACTGGGTGAAGTCTTAAGCAGCCCAGTCTGAGTTCAGAACTGGCTCTGTCAGGGCTCAGGCTGGAGATTTCTCCTGGTTCCCACCAGACTGAACAAGATCTTGTGAGAAATGAAAAATCATACTTTTATTTTCTTTGCTAAAAACACTAAATAGCATTAGTCATGTGGACACTGTCATCTTGTTGCTATGTATCTGTTTAATGGCACAAAAAGAAGTCAAATCATAGAATCATGGGATATACTGACTTGGAAAGGCTAAATCAGGATCATCAAAGTTCAACATCTGACCATCCCAAGAGTCACATCATATGCCTGAGAGTGTTGCCTGAATGCTTCTTAAACTCTTGTCAGGCTTGGTGCTCTAACCACTTCCCTGAGGAGCCTGTTCCCAGTTACCCTCCGGGCAATGAACTTTTTCCTGATAGCCAGCCTAAACGTCCCCTGACATGACTTCAAGCCATTTCTTCTGGTCCTGTCACTGGTCTCAGAGAAGAGATCAGTGTCTGCCCCTACTCTTCCCCTCATGAGGATGCTGAAGACCACAGTGAGATCTCCCCACAGTCTCCCATCGTCAGGGTGAACAGACCAAGTGGCCTCAGCCACTGCTCACATGGCTTCCTCTCCAGACCCCCCATCATCCTCACTGCCCTCCTTTAGGCAATAACTTTATTTTTTTGTGACACCCAGAACTGCCCCCAGCACCGGAGGTGAGGCTGCCCCAGTGCAGAGCAGAGCAGGACAATCCCCTCCCTTGCCTGGCTGATGCTGTGCCTGATGTCCCCAGGACACGGGTGGCCCTCCTGGCTGCCAGGGCCCTGCTCACTCAAGTTCAGCTTGCCACAAACCAGGACCCCCAGGTCCCTTCCTGAGGTGCTGCCCTTCAGCCTCATTCTGCAGTCTATACACACATCCAGGGTTGTCTCATCTCAGGTCCAGAATCTGACACCTTCCCTTGTTAAACTTCATTTGTTTCACTTGCAATTTGTCGAGGTTGGCCTGCAGGGCCTCTCTGTCTTCATAGAAGTCAACAGCTTCAGCAAACCTAGTATTTGAATCCTGCATCCAAGTCATTTATGAAGATTTTGAAGAGCACCAGCCCCAAGCTGGAGTCCTGTGGAACCCCAATAGTGGCAGGCCACCAGTCCATTCACTGTAACCCTTTGGGCCTGATCCATCAGCCAGTTGCTCACCCATCATATGATGTTTATTCAGCTGAGTGCTGGACGTTTCAGTCCCAATGATCTGGGAGCTGATCATTCTCATAGCCATGGTTCTCCAGCTCCAGGCAGTGGGGTCCCCTTAGTACAAAAGTGGTGTTGAAAGTAGAGGCAAAGAAAGCATTAAACACCTCTGCCTTGTCCACATCCCTGTTTGTGAGGTGACAGTCTTCATCCTGCAACAGAACCATGTTATTTCTACACTGCCTTTTGCCATTAATGTATTTGAAAAAGCTCTTTTTATTGTCCCCCTCAACTGTGATCAGTTTTAACTGCAGTGGATCTTCAGCATGACAGATGTTCTCCTTGCAGTGGCGAGCAGCATCTCTGCATGGTCACATCACCTGACCTTGCTTCTGCTGAGCCAACACCCTTTTTTTTCTCTACCTCCCAAAGAAGATTCCTGCTCAGCCAAGCCATCTTCTGCCTCACCTGCTTGACTTCTGACATTTGGGAATTGCCTCCTTCTATGCCCTTAGAAGATGGTGCTTAAAATGTGACCAGCACTGATGCGCCCCAGCACCTGTGGAAACATTTTCCCAGGGTACCTTACTCACTTGTTCCCTGAGCAGCCTGAAGTTTGCTCTCCTGACATCCAGAGCTGAAGTACTGAGTGTTTGTATTCATTTTGGAACTGCTTTTACTTCAGCTCCAGCTGAAGTAAAATATTCCAAGTTAAATTTCACTGCACTATTGCTACAGAAATTATTTAGATTCATAGAATCATCAAAGTTGGAAGAGACCTTTGAGATCATCAAGTCCAACTATCCACCCAGCACTGCCACTGTCACCTCTAAATACAAACCACATCACCCAGTGCCAAGTCCATACGCTTCTAGAACATCTTCAGGGATGGTGACTCTACCACCTCCCTGAGCAAAGGACTCTTCTGATCCAAATTCTAAGAAAGTAGTCAGTGTTGACTATACTTCAAGAGATGGCCTCAGAGACCTAAATCAGTAGCCCATTTGTAAGGAGTTTCTCACCCCAGAACTGTTAGCAAATTACTGGTGGGAACAGGATTGTGAGGCTTTAGAAAGCACTGCCATTCTCTTGAATCCACGTGTGGCCTCCTGAAATTACATGCAAGGGAAGTAATAACCTCACCTTGATAGCACCCAACTGCATCCAAAATTTTTTCACCCATGGTTGATCATCCTGCATCTCATGAAGAAAGTCCTACAAATCTGAACAATCCCCTGGGCTCAGAAGCAAAGGAAAGGTAGGAGCAAAGGAAAACTGCCAGAAAGTTGTTCAAACATTTTTCTTCAGAAAAACGTGGTGGAGAAACAAAAGCACCACTATAATCATGGCATCCTCTGGGCACAGTTTCTACAGGATTAAGATTACCATTACTTCTTTACTGTAAGATTCAGAGATGGAGCAGAGGGAGATGGGTCTGACAGTAAGGACCACAGCTTCAATGGGAAATTACTTGAGGAGGAAGTTTCTGTCATGAATCAGGCTTTCAGGATGAATATATTTATGGTGCTTGACAGTATACAGGATATGTTGCTCCCTGGATGGGCCTGCAGTCAAAGTAGGAGCAAGTTGAGGAATATCTTCTTTTCAAAAACCTTCAAATACAGATTATAGTGGAACTCTTCAGCCTGGAAGCCAGACAATACCTCCATCAAAGTAGGTCCCCAAACCATGGAGAGACAAGGATCGTCAGGACAAACTGAAAGGGATGGAACTCCTTATTTTCTCTTATTGTACTGTCTTAATGGTAATGTAGATTTAGCAGTGAAATACTTGTGAATTTCCACTGAATTTCCCATAAAACACAAAACTAAAATCTTTACTAAATCAGGTGTCAAGGTATTTGTGTTATTTTGCTCTGTGTGCTGTAGGAAGCCTCAAATGTCAGAGAAAAATAATTATCAATTAATTAAAGGAAGTAAATTAATAAAAATCCAAGGATCTTGTCCTAGAAAGATGGAATCAATCTCAACAGCCCAAAACCAACCAAGAGTGATCCTTTTTCAAAGGTCAGGCCTGTTATTACACCAGAAGCATTCACTTCCTACCTTTCACCAAGATTCATCAGAGTGTCCTGGATTTGCCACAGGTTTGGCTATCAGAAAAAAACTGTGTTACTTAGGCGTTTCTCCAAAGCACTTCTCTTGCATCCTCTTGCCTTAAAAGTTGTCTTTGAAAAGGTAACACCTTTGCAATCCACGTCAATTTCAGTAACTTCACACTGATGGAGTTAGCAGCACTACATCAGAGAAATAAGATTTTGTAAAAAGTTTGAGATCAGAAACAGGATGTGGTGTTTCACCTCCTCATCCACCCAACTCTTCAATAGCAGCATTCTGTATTTACATTCCAGATGGCACCACAGATCCATGACAAAGTTGTTATTTTTTTCCCTGTTATACTATTAACAAGAGATTAATTCAGAACACACAATATTCAAGCAGTTGATATTTTACCCTGCACATCACTTGAGGTTTTGCTATACGAAGAAATCACATGAATTTTCTTTATTAGTGTTTTGATTCCACAAGATCAAGCAGCGTCCTTCAGTTATCATCCGCTTCCAGAAGTGAAGCTTTTCTTCAGGAAAACACATTATTTGATAAGGAACTTTACAAAATTTTCAGAGTGCACAAGGGCTGGCATGTTTCTTGGGAACTTGACTGTGATAATTCCACTTATGGTTTTACACACATTGATATTTACATAAACTTCCCTGCAGCTCTCTCACCTTTGAAATTCCTTTTGAGTCAATCTGGGTTAATTTGCCCAAATTAGCAAATTTATGCTCCTTACTCTTCATTCTTCCTGTACCCTTTATTTCCCCCTCTGCAAAAACTGTTGCTTCAAACTTTAATGGGTCTAGCAAAACCAGCTAGATCCTTCTGGCACTAATCACAGAATGACTGAGTTTGGGAGGCACCTCTGGAGTTCCTGTGGTCTAACCCCCTGCTGCAGCAGAGCCACTTGGAGCTGGCTGCCTGTGACTGTGTCCAGATGGCTTTTGCAAATCTCCAATGGGGGAGAATCAACAAACTCTTTGGGCAATCTGTGCCTGTGCCCAGTCACCCTCACAGAAAAAGAGGTTTCCTGATGTTCAGAGAGCACAGCTTGAGTTTCAGTCTGTGCTCACTGCCTCTGGTCCAGTCACTAGGCACCACCATGGAAAAATATATAAAGACAGGTCAGATTTTTACCATAATTAGGAAAAATACAGCAGCAGCCCTACACTAGCTAAAAAATATCAATGTTAATGTTTTTCACCTCACTTCCTAATGAAATGGATGTTGGTCACTCACACTATCTGTTCTCCCCTCTTTTCTTTTGAGTCTATCAGTCATTTTCACCATATTTAGAGCCCAGTGCACCGCTTCAAAGAAAAGTGAAAACTTAAAGTATTTAATCCTTTAAACTTAAAAAAATCTGTAGAGGGACAGAGAGGCTCAGATTAATGATTCATTAGGACGAATGACAAGCAGAACATGGGTCTTTTATCTCCTTGCTCTTCTGGCAGTAACAAGCTGCTGGTATATCATAGCACCCAGACCTCTGAATCAATCACACACTGCCATTTCTTGGCTGACCTTGGAATGGAATTACTATAGTGTTAGCATAGGCAAGGGCCAGGCTTCATTAGTTCTGCAGCCCATGGGACAGACCCTCTTTTTGTTGCAGTATTTGCTTCTCAGAATAGAATTAAACTGTATTTACCGTAATCTAAGACACTTCTGTCACAGGGTAATGAGTTTTGGTCCACATATACTAGTTTGCAGAGTGTTAAAATGGTGAAAAAAGTGTGCATTAAAAAAGCTATAGTAAGTACATGCAAAAATACCAGTCCTCTGTAACAAAATAAGCAGCCTTAGACCATAATATGTTTGAATCTAGAAACAGTCTGTCCACTCTAGGAGCTTGTACTTATTGGGCAGGTAAAAAAGAGGCTGTCTCTCAGAGCACATGTAATTAACCAAGAAATAATAGATTTGTCTGCTGCTTTTTAAGAGGGCAGGATGCAGAAGAAAATGAGAAGTTGTCTCCGTGCCCCTTTCATGCTAATTAATGCATTCAGAAGCTGTACTGAAAGGAATTCAAACTCGTGATAGTCATAAGAGGACAGATCAAAGGAGAAAAAAACAGACTAAGTCAAAGAAAGCTGCATATGCCTTCAGTTAGCAGACAGAATACAGGTCTGAAGGAGGTAAGATTTATATTTTTTTGTTTTACACAAAATTTTCAGTTTTGCTTAAAAATTTTGCTTTAGAAGAGGCTTGACTATCTCTAAGCGAACTCAAGGTATTTTCTTTCCTTGGCTAGAATTTTCTTTAGTAAAGTCATAGTGTTTTATAATTTACCTGTATAGGATAGGTAGATTAGAGGGATACTATCAAGTAGGAGCTGTTGTTGTGCTCTTCATATTATGGAAACATGTAGATTTCTTCTTCACTATATTTGGTTGAGTAGATTTTTAACTGTTCAGACAGCTATGATTATCACCTTAAGACTGGAAATAAAGATTGTAATATAAATTCCCTATACATTTGAGTTTCTATTGTCAGCAGACATAAATCAGTATTCCTATCTGAAATTCAACAGATCTCTGAGAGTCTCCAGTGGCAGAAAACCTGTCCCCTGAGTGTTTACAGGAAATAACTGAATAGAAAAACAACTTTTGTGAAAACTCAATTGTTTTTCTTGTCCAGGTAAATTGTCTGTTTTTTGATATTCTAGATTTTGCTTCAGAAGTCTGCCATTACTTGGTACCTAAACAGATCAAATTCTGCAAACTCTGTTACACTCAGTGGCAAAAAACCTTGATGTCAGTAGTGACACCAATATGTAGACTATAGTTATGGTTTTGAGCTTTTTCTTAAATTGGGATAGTTGTGTGTGTATATGGATCTACTTGATTCTTAAGAAACCAGCTTACCCTGCCTCTCTAAAATGCTCCTGTTAAAACAAAGAACCTTATGCTTTAAAGGTTTATCACACTGGCACACTACGTTTTTACCCTGTAGGTTTGAGCCTCACAAAATGCCCAGAAGATATAACCACGTGGATGGCAACCATTTCAGAGGGAAAGGACACAACTATTTTGCAGCAGAAGAGTAAGCATAAATCAAAACCTATGTTAGCATGTAAGCTGGTGAAGGAATTTGCATTGAAAGAAAAACAGAAAATTGTTTCAAAAAAAGTCACTATTGTATACAGATAGAGTGCCTTTTGATTATCTTATAGTTCTAATGTTTGTCATAGTGCAATCTTAGAGAGCCCTCAATATTAAGAAAAATCAGAATTGCAGAATTCAAGAATCTAGAGTTAAATCATATGATCAGAAGTCATCAGCCTTTACCAGTTTTATTTAGAGGCTTATTTAGAATTCACTTTTGAGCCTGTTGCAAGGTGACCTGTATACTAAATCTCTAGATTCCCAGACCTCTCTTAGGAATCTCAAAGGGACATTGTTCTTTGAATGAAAGAAAGGGGGAAAACCCCCAGGTTAAAAAAAACCCAAAATACATCAATGCCATACAAATGTGACTCCTAAATTGTTTCTGGCAACTATTTTTTATCTTTGAATTACAATAAAATATGTTTGGTCTGGGATTATTAGAGACACCAGCCAACTGGTGATGTTTTAGCACATAAGTAATTCCAGTGTGCTTGGGATATCTGTAAGTGAATTGTGCTGCTGGTGCTGGCTTCCTGGGCCCCAAACTTAATGACTTATTGCAAACACTCATACTACAAGACAGTTGCTCCTCCATCAGCCCTGGAAAAAGAATTAACAAAAGGGAAAGCTCCCTAATAGGCCATCCAAAGCAGTTCAGTTTTTCAAAAAAAGAAAACAAGCAAACAAACAAACAAACCAACAAACCCAAAAAAAACCTGGCTAGTCATGTTTCAGCACTTGAAACTAGGCATGCTTACCTCTAACTGCTGTGAGTTCTAGTGGTTGCAACTGTAAGTAGTTTTTCTAGATATGCAAAAGTGACACTATCCTTCCCCTACCAGAAGTATTCTAGGTATAAGCCCAGATTCCTAGCAGCAGAACTTCAGCTGTAACTGGAATTGCAAGAAATTGTATACACACATTCCATACTAGCCTCTGAGTAGTAAGGGAAGTAGTTAAATGGCAAATGTGCAGTCAGAAGTACCAGCTCTAGAAATGACACACATTCTGGGGCCATACAGGCTAATGGACAGCTTAAACACCACAACATATGACATGCAGAAAGTCTAAAAATGTAGAGAGGGTACCAGTTGCCTGGAGAAGTAGTCCCTCCAAGTTTCAATTGCACTGACAAGAGTAGCAAAACCAGCGGAGCAATCTCACAACTTGCATCAGAAAGTGAGTGCTGTGAGCTCTGTTCTTGGGTTAAGAACACAACCTGACCCGCAGGCCACACAGAGTCCTTACGGGGCAGGAGACTTAAAAGATCCACGTACTTGGGAAAAAGAAAATCCCCTTGTCTCCAAGGGGTTTCATGCTTCAAATAGCACACAGGAAGTTCAGACAAAAAGGCAGCCTGTTCTGCCACACAAATCTGTTCGCATCTCCTTTCGGGCTTTTTAGCTCACAAGGAACTACTCCTTCATGAGACTTGGGGTCAGTGAAAATGACAGCAAATAGATATAAAAGCTCTCTGATAAGTCACATATGCCACAACTCAGTCCCACTGGAAAAGCTTGGGGTAATTCCTAGGCAACTAGGCATAAGATATACAGAAGTGTGTTAGAATGTTCATCCTGATTCACAGAGTAATTTTTTCCACCATGCTCTTTCATCTTTAATCATTTCACATATTCTTCTGTTCCTGAACAGGCAAAGAACAAATAAAAGAATGAATTTGATATGTCTCAACAGGGAGGATATTGACACTAAAGGAAGGGGTTTTCTGATCAGGAAATTTCAAATTACTTTGTCACCTTGCTTTTTGACATGGACTGGAACTGTGCTGCTTCTGCCAAGTCCCCAGTGAGCAGTGGGAAGGATGCTTTACAGCACAGTTTGCAAAGCATACTTTCCCTAAAACAACACAGTGACACCAATACTGTGCCTAGTATGTCATGCAAGAACTAAATCTTTATGGAGCTCTTTATGAATAACTCAAAGTTTCTTAGGCATGTTTTAAGGTTGTAATATGTTTTATGCATCAAAAAACCCTTCCATCATTAGAAGTTGTTGCAATATGATGCAATTAGGATACATTTTAAGTACTTGCTACCTAGAGAAATTTAGCAAATAAACATGAGCTGCATCATTGACGATGCCGCATTTAATTTATTTCACATTCACTTGCAGTATCACAATGCTGTGATTTGCTAGATTTACAGACAGGTAAACAGGTGTTTTTGGAATCAGTAGTCACTGGTAGATAATTGTTTTCAAAGAAATACATTTTTTAAATGTTTCAGAATTTGATAGAGAAATTAGCTAACAACTAAATCTAAACAAACTTGCTGAAGTTATTGATACTTTGCCTATTTTCTATGGTAAATTCTGCTCCATACCTTCCTCTGATAAAAGGACAATGACACAAAGTTTTGGTCTAACCATTCTTGCTCCCAGGAGGATGCATCTAGTTGTGGTGCAAATTATTTTGTTTTGTTTTCCCAACAGAGCTCTGGGTATTGGACTTTTCATTTTGGTGCTGGCAATTTTACTTGCCTTTGGCTGCTGGTATTACAAAAGACGTAGTGGCTACAGAAGTCTGCGGGTAAGTGTGGCAGCTCATTTTCTCTCATGCTATTATTTTGACAACATATTGCCTTGGTTTGCATTTTATTAATGCAGAGAAAAACATCAAATCTATAGAGGATGTCATTATCTCAGGCAGTATCTACACTGACGTGTCACAGACAAAACCACACAATATGAAACACTACCTGATCTAAAGAACTTGCAAGTCAGACAAAGGGGTAAGAGGAATCCGAAGCAAAGGGACATGAAACCAGTTGCCCAACTTTGCACAACACATCAGTAAAAAAAGTTAAATTTCTATTTATATTTACACAAAATCAAGAAACATTCTGTGTCCTTTCATTTAAATAAAAGTAATATATTCACTGTTCATCAGATTAACCCCTAAATAAGGTTAGATATGATTAGAGTAAATCAAGGAAGCAGAGAAGGAAAATAACTGACAAGTAGGTAAATATGGGTGATGTGTGCTTCATCCATATAAAATTTGACTTGTAGTTTTAGGATTTACAAAAAAATTGGGATGGGTTTGAGATTTGTTTTCTAAAGACTACTTTAAAAATACTTCCATTTGTATCTTCTTCGAAAATATTTTTTAAAAAGGTACAATCCTTCTCATAACATCTGTTGTTGAAGTCCCAAAGCTTTATTTTTGAAGTTTTTCTCCCTCTCCTATGAAAGGGAGGTATTTTTAATTCTTTAAAGTGCAAGCTTGTTATGATTTAACCCCAGAGAGCAATTAATCACTATGTAGACACTTGCTTACTTCCCACTGCCACCCTAGTGTGGAAGAGAATTGGAAAGAAAAGGTGAACTTCATGGGTTGAGATAAGAACAGATGAATAATTGAAACAAAATATAATAATCTACTACTACTAATCACAGTAATGAAAGGGAGAGAAGGAGAGGAGTAAAACCCCAAAGGAACAAGTGATTGATAATACAGTTTCTCACCACCCCAACTGATATCCATCTCATTCCTGAGCAGCAATCAGCCCCTCCCAAATCCCTTCTTTATATACTGAGCCTGATGTTCTCTGGTGTGGAATATTCCTTTGGCTAGTCCAGGTCAGGTGTCCCAGCCATGAGCCCTCACAGTTTCTAGTGGACCCACTCTGTGGCAGACACTCTGAAGAGTCCTTGACTTAGAGCAAGAGCTACTGAACAAAAAACAAATCATCATTGTGTTATTATGTCAGCATTAGCCTCATAATGAATCCAAAACAAAACACTGTACCAGCTGTTTAAAAGAAAATTAACTCTACTCCAGCTGAAACCAGGACAAAGGTTTATCTAAACATATGTTTTACATTATCTTTTTGTTATCCTAATATTTTAAGAAGATAAGTAACTATTTGGGACTGAAAAACCCAGCAAAGCTCTCATCTAAGTCAGCAAATCTACTTTCTTGCTGTTTCTGGTAATTCTGTCCTATCCAGTTATCTATCCAAGACACATATCACCTGGCGGAATACCTAAAACATGAACATTTCTTAGTGAAATGTTTCAAAAATGAAGGTAATTCTAAAAAAAACCCTTCACAAATCAAACCAAACGCCTGCTTTGTATATCCTGGCAAAAAGCATAATCTGTTTTTTAATTCCTTCTAATCACAGATTGCTACTTTCTGGTTTTGAAGATCATATTTTTCTTAGGCTATTTTTGCTAGGAGAGAACTAGTACAGAATGTGTACAAAAGAAATGTTGACAAAATGTAAAACAAAAAGGTTGGGGATTAAGGAAAGAAATGGGTGGCATAAAAAAGAGGAGGAATTCAGATACATGAGATGTCAGTTTCTGCATCAGCCTGCGACCTAAAAAATGTGATACTTAATTTTCTGGCAATGTAATTGGATTACACAGGAGAGAGAGCATATGTCTCAGCAGACACAGCAAAAAGTGTTAGCTAAGGTATCTTCCTTACTTGCATTGTTTCTAATCCCAGATTCTAATACATTCTGTATATGTGTTGTCAAATTTTGTTCCAACTTAACAGTCTCTTCTTCCTTTCACCTTCTCTATATTTCTTTATGATCTGTCACAGAGCAAAAGCTCTAGTATGAGCACAATACGAAATGTGGTAGGTGAGGGAGAAATACTGGACTGCAAAATGGCTCTGCAGGACTACAGAGACTTTAATTCTGTGGTAAGTTGCAAATCAAGATCTCACATAAAACTGAGTAAGACACAGTGAGATTATACTGTTAAACAAGCACTTGATTTCTCCCCTGGTGTATTCTTTCATACTTGGAGTCTTCAATACCTCAATATCAACTTAGAAAGTAGTATTTAGAAAAATTTGTACTGTAAATTTATTTTTTTTTAAATTAAATCTACTATTTAGAATGCTTATTTTAAAAGTGACTGTCTGCAATTTATATTTATTCTTAAATTGTATGATCGTTTTGCATTCTAGTAGAATGATGCAACACCTGAATGCTGAAATATACTGGAAAAGCCCAAACATCTCCCTAATTGATTTTCTGCCATTCTGACAAACAAATGGATTATGTCTGGTATACTATAATCTGACAAGCATTATCAGGGAACATTATAAAACTTCAGTGTGTTAGCTCTTCTAATCATTATGGAAAGATGAACATTCAAACTTTCAATTTTCAAAAAGGTAAATTAAGTGATAAGTATATATAAATGGGTGTGTTTAAATTGCTTTAGAATCGAGAAGCTAACTTTGAACAATTTTAAATAAGCTACTCAAATTTTTACCACTAGAAATAAGACAACATGCCTGCATCAAGACTCATAAAGAAAAGCTTCAATATTTGTCTGAATTATCAATTTAAAAACACCCCATACATATAAGAAAAATATTCCTGCCTTTGTAACGCCGAAAATTCTCTCTTTGGATGAACAATAGCAATAAAGTGAATCTGATGCAAAACTAGAAAACATACTACCAAAAAAGTAACCTTATAAAACAGACACAATGAACGAGCTCAGCTTCTTTAAGTCATAGAACTGTATCTAATATGGTGGTAAATAGCTTGCTCTGTGCTCAGTATAATTTTCTTGTCATTTTTCTTGTACCTCAATTGGGATTTTTTTTGATCTTTCACACCCATTTTCCTTACCATAGGTACCTGATGCTCCACCAGCTTATGACAAAATTGCTGCAGATCCATCACCACCACCTTATTCACCATGACAACATGAAATTTGAAAACTTAAACATACTGATTCCATTTTTTCATGCTCACTCTTTATTTCCTGTATACGCTTAACTTTCTTAAAGCTAAAATCTTACAAAAGAAAACACATGTTTGCACTAGCAGTGGCTGAAAAGTGTTCCCGCTTAATTTACAGAAGTGGTCATTGAAATGCCTTAATAAACTGAATGCGCTTTTGTTTTAAGCTTTTCACTTCTTGTAGTCAGATTAATTCATTATGGTCTGGTCATCTCGAATCCTTCATAGGTCTACACAGATGTATAATCACACACTATTCAGTATCAATCAGAGTAAAAAGTGATGGCACCTTTGTTTTCATCTTCTTCATTTAGTTTCCCTTTCTTTAAGAAATAATACCCCCCAAAACCAAACCAAAACAACAAACAAAAATAAACACACCAAAAAAAAACACCACAGCAAAAAACCCCAAAAAAACCCTCCAACTATTCCTTAGAATGTAATGTAAAAGAATCTGTCACAAAATGAACCATTTGACTACATGACTCCTTACAGGCTGTTTTCCTCACCAGCAGTTTCAAAATTAACTTCCAAAAAGTGACTATGTTTTACAACACACTTTTACCTTACATCACTTGTTTATGTAACTATAATGAATTAATTCCTTATAAAACACAATCAGTCTAAGAAATCTAGGAGTTTCTGCTTGCAGTCCGTACTATTTCATACAGTGAATGGATACAATGACATCACCTTCCATTTCCTTGTGGCAGTCGTGAGAGAGCAAAAGAACTTTGCAAATACGAAGATTTACAAGTAATTTCTTTCTAATATGATGAAACTGTGTAAGAAAATGCATGAAAACCATGTTTCTTACAGATTACCAAAGACAACAGACTCCTAAATGTTAATTTTCCAAGCTCGCCAGAACACTAGCAGTAATAAAAAATGAAGAATTTTGATATGCATTAATTGGCTACATACATTTGATAGTTATTGTTTACTCAGCCTTTTTGTTACTCCTTGCTTGCCAGATTACTACTTAAGATTATACGCAGATCAATACATTTATGCACAAGGCTCACAGCAGAAGGCAGCTAAAATGGTGCAACATTCACTAAAATCAAAAGTAGTTACAGAAGAGAAATGATCTCATAAAGCAATTATTAACTGCTATTAGTAAAGAATTTAGTTCCTTGTCATCAAATACGCAAATACAAGCATCTTAAAACACAAAAAGTTTTCAACACAAGGCACAGTTATTTACCTAACATATGTATCAACATATATGGAGTTTAAGACAGTTTTTTGAAATGTTTCTTTTGTAATAAAAATGTTTGAATAGATAGTTTGAATAGTTGTTGGAAGTTAATAAGTATCAGTAATTGCTGTGAAATGTTACAATCCATCCTTATGTTTTTATAAATTTAGTTGATCTATTTATTTAAAAACTTAGAGATGTATTTTAACCTAAAAAGCTGTCTTACCTGTGTCATTTCCAATATCCACCCTGTCAGGAAAAAAAAATCTGGAATTGTTTAGCAATAGGAAGAAGGATACACAGGAGAACATAAAAAATGCCATCGTATAGCTAGTAAGCACTAGAGATGTAGAACACAATGGCTGAATCATTTTCTTGCAGGACTGGTAAAAGCTAAAGCTTGGGGCTGATATCTTTAGCAACTCAGTGCTCTGCATTTCTCTGCTCTGGGGCAGAGTAAAGGCTCTTAAAAATCCCTTCAAAAAACTATGTAGTGCTACAGTGGAATAGAACTGAAATATGCAGACATATTTCCTCATGTGTGAGAAAAAAATCAATTAAAAAATTAACAGAGATTATTTACTATGAAGAAGTGAAGTGCTTAGAGTTCAAAAAGCTTTACTTGATTACACACATTTTTAGTAATGTTAATTGCGTAGAATTAAATATATTACCAGATGTTGCGAAAGCTCATGAGGAAGTTAACACTGATGAAGTAGAAATATAAATTTCTTTGTGGAACCATGTAAAACTCCTCAGCAGCCAGAAATGGAATAATTCAACTTTCAGCTGAATTTATAGATACTTGAGGGATAGATAAGCCCTCTTGGAACCCTATCCTTAGTTTTCAGAAAGTCCTCTCCTTTTTTCTACTGGTGAAAGCAGTATTTTTGCTTTATAGACAGAGTTAAGACAGTGGTCTCAGATTAAAGTGCATTAAAATAAGAGCATGAAATACAGCTTCACAGAGCACTCAAACAGTTGTAAACTTCATCACTCATTCTTAATGCCATTCTAATTCCGTTTTTCAAATCTGGCTCTATACCCAGTGATGGAACATGGCAGAGCCTGACTGCTGACACATTAAAAAAAAACACTGATACAAGACAGGTCAGACCTTGAAAACAAGAGACCTGTAATTGCCAAAGATGCATGATGCAAGAACTGGTACTTTTGTATTACACTCAATAACACTGCAGTTTACGAAATACTAGTTAAAACATTCAAGGACATCTGTTCCTTTAAAAAGAAAAGCACCAAAATTTTTTAACTACCATACATGGAGAACATGGTACAGGGTTGTTCAACCTTCCTGGGAAGTCTTTCAGATTAGACAGTTGTATCACCCCAGAATAGCAACTGGTCACCAAAATTTAGATTCATAATTTCTTTAGTTTGGTCATGTACGTAATAGAGACCATGTAAAAGTCAAAGATGTTCTGCTTCTCTGGTTTTTACTCTCTTTGCAATCAGCTTGCTATTAGATGCTTTCTATTACAACTATAATTTTGAACAAACATGATGTTTGTGCTTCATTTTCTTCCATCAAAAAAAGCTAATGAAAAAATTCACAGGCAATTTGAGTTTTCCCCCAGCATGCTGAAGAAGAGGTGGCTGGTCATAGCTGGAGAATAAAGCTCTGCTTGCTTCTTATCTGCACTATCATAGCAGCAGACACACTGTTATTAATTCTTATCTGTACAATAGGACCTTAGGAACTTCTCCATAGCTATGCATAGAACCCTTATGTAGATGCAAGAAATACTTCAAAAACAGAACCCTTGCTAATATAGCATGTTTTGGTCAGATTATAAATTAGAATGGCAATAGCAGTTACACTGTCTATGTTTGGATTTCTGGTATGATCCTGTTGGATCACCTACTTTCTAATGCAGTTACAAACCCTAACGTAGCCTTCAAAGCTATTGAACAAAGGTAAAATGCAGCAGGTCCTGATGAGTTCAATCTTCCTGGCATACTCCACCATGTAGCAAAACAGTCTCTTGAGCCAAGAGCCAAAGGGTATAGTCTACACATGTCAGACAGTTATCATAAAAGAGAGTACCACACTCTTGCTTTTTTAGTGTCTCACTAGTCTATTGTAAATAACTGGCATTTGCAGCTGGTTGCTAGGAGAATCCAGTGATACTCACCTCAGCAATGTCCTTTGGCTTAACTCTTGCTACAGCTGGGGATGTATGTATATTATCTTGGCCCTAAGAACTGTATTAGCATTAGTCATATTGATTGTAATTTTTCAATGAAATACTTTGATTCATGTTTTTGTCTAATACTGGTAGCATACCCATTACTCTGTTGGTGTTCTCTCACATGATGTGAGTACATTTTTTTGCCTTTAAAAGCAAACTTCTTTTTATGTCTTATGTAAAGGAAAAGGTTAATGAGTTTCTTTGTCTTTGGAGAAGTAGCATTTATGCACTTGTACATTTCTGTTGACTGCATATTAAATTGTGCAACAAGGTTGAAAGGTTGTTGTGTGTTCATGCCATTTAATTAAACATATTTTACTGCCCATTAGAGCTGAAAAGTGCTTGAAAATTTCCAGTGTTGTCTTTTGGGCACATATTTGCACTGAACTTTACATGTAGTAATGAAGCTAAACTAGCAGCAATATAAAGTTTAGAAAGCTATCTACAGGTATTATCTACACATCCCATATAAGCTGCCAGCTAAAATCCAGCACTTGTGCACTTTTTGGAATTGACCCTCTATATTTTGCATCCTTAGAGAACCTCAAATTTTTACTTTATTTCCTTTAAGCGAAAAGTCCTTGGCTCAATGGCAGCAGCCTTAGATTTCTAATGAACAGAATGAATTATTCCTTCCCTTGCTGCCAAAATGTAGTTCTTCTAGATTCTACTCTGGTACCAATACAAAAGACTACATCTTCAGGGGTAGTGGTGTTCCTAACTGCCATGTGCTCACAGCAATAGGAAGAAGAAAGGCTCATCCATCTCATCCTCACCCACCATGAGCCTCATGGTCTCAAATTCCACCGAATCACGTCCCTCACACTGCAACAGGTTGTCCAGAGAGGTTGTGGAGTCTCCCTCACTGGAAATAGTCAAGAACCATTCTGGAGCAATGTGTAATGTGCTCTGGGATGATCCTGCTTGAGCAGGTATATTGAACCAGGTGACCTGCTGTGGTTCCTTCCAACCTGACCCATTCTCTGCTTCTGTGATTCTATGACATTTATTCATCAAAAAAAGAACCAGAGACTACTGGCCCAAATTTAATTAGAGTAAAAAAGGCAGAATGTATAATCTATCGTGGCAACAGTGTTGACATTAAATGTTACAAATACTATTGACATTAAATGTCACAGTTATTGCCTTCTCTTGTTTCCCCAGAAAGCTCTTCACATGGGATAGCTGCAAACTTCACTCTTGGTGGATTCCCACAGGTGAAAATCTGAACAATGCTTAATTGGCACATGTACCTTCACACTTCCAAACCATTTTAGTATAGCCTCAATTAGATGTTTGGACCACATGTTTTATTTGCTCCTTTACTGAGAGATACATCACATGAGTTCAAATCAGTACAAAACAAAGAGTGATGGCCTAATATAAATACTACAGTCTGTCAATACTAATTTTGTAAAGTCTTTTCAACTTCACTAGCTTCCATCTCTGGATGGGAAAAACAGAATTCTCTGCTGCATGTTTGCAATGTTCTCTGCATTCACAGAAAAGCAGACTTCCTTGTTCACAATTCTTTTATCATCTTGTAGCT